CATATGCAGGTTAGCATCCGGCAGTTTCTATGTGCTGGGGACCCTACTATACATTTCTATCATAAAACGTTGGCGTACTCAACATGTCCGTGTTCAGAATAAGCCTCTATGAGCTGGCAGACATTGAATCACTGCCCATGAACTCTGTTTGATCCAGAAAATGTGAAGGAGGTTGAACAGACGGACAGATTTCTCTGTGGTCCACAGGCTATAAATACCGTCCCCTGAGAGGGTGACTCAGTGTCTTCATGTGGACGGATGAGTGTCTCTTCCACTGAGACGCAGGGAGAAGAGACACTTCTAGCCGTCCAGCATTCACACCGATGACGCACAACCTGGCAATGCAATCAAACGCAGACATCAGGTTCAGTATTTTGTCCAAGAACTCTTCGATATTGAGGATTTGTAGACTCAAGTATGTGAAGCGACAGATCGTACAGCCACTATTTAACCTACAGGACATGAGTGTTTGACACGTTAAAAAAGAGGACGATTTCACTCCATCTCCATCTTTGAAAAGATAATTAGAAAGTGGTCCAGCTTTAATTGACTTGTTTCTAAACGCTCACTGCGATGTCAAATGATCCACTGAGCCAACGTGGAGATGTCTCTGTTAATGTCTTCCACCACTTGTTATGTAATCAGTATGCATGGATAGAGAAGTAAAACCAGCCAATTCCACAGGACTCTTTAATGCCTCCTTGTTGTTCCCTTTTTCTTTTTTAAATGAGCTCTTTAAAAATGGCCTGAGGGAAGTAAAACAAATGGATCTGGTGTTTGTATCACCCTCTCATTTTCTCATTGTAGAGAATCCTAAGTGCTTTGCCACGAGGCTTTCTGAACGTTCTTATTTACATAATGAAACCTCGGCTGCAGACAGAATTAACTCCCCTGTAAAACGTTAAAGTGATGCCAGAAAACAATGTCAACCATCCCACTTTAATGAGTCCACGCTGACATGTTTAAATGTCTGGTGTTGTCCAGCCAACAGTCCAAAACCCAGAGATATTATATTGACAATCATGTAAAGGAAAAAGAAAGCAGCAAATCCTCACATCTTAGAAACTGGAACCAGAAATATGGATGGCATTAGTAATCAATTTGAACAATGATAGTGTTTTAGTTGATTAAGATATACTTTATTGATCCCAAATTGGGAAGTGTATCTGTTACAGCAGCACGTTGACTTCATATATTGATATTTAAAGAGCTAAACTAGTTTTTGTTTGGGTTTTTGTTGCTCTTACTCTCTGCGTGCGCCCTCATACCAAAATGCAGATTTTCCCCCGTAAAATGTTATTTGCCCCTTTTTGTTTGTTTGTTTGTTTGTTCCATGTAAAGCAGCCTTGGTTCCATTGAAAGGCGCTATACAATTGTCATTTATTATTATTATTAAAGTGATGCCAGAAAACAATATTTCTGTTCGTCAAAAACGGAATTACTCCAGAAATATGAATATCAAACAGAGACAGCTTTGTTTTTACCGAGCTCCGACGCCATGTTGTTGTTTACGTCCACTGCGCCATCTTGTATACGGGTGTCGTGTTTTCGCCAGAATTTATATATCTTATATACAAGATCAGCGCCTCAGTACTCATACTTTATCTTTCTAGAAAAACCCTTGCTTTCGATATGAAATCTTCTGTCTCCACATATTAATACCACTTTACGATTTCTGAAGTAAAAAGCTAATGTTGGGCTATAAAGGAACTACAGCACGGTCACATGACTTCACGTCACCACCGCTAAGCTAAAGGTGGCTAATATTGGGCTATAAAGGAACTACAGCACGGTCACATGACTTCACGTCACCACCGCTAAGCTAAAGGCGGCTAATGTTGGGCTATAAAGGAACTACAGCACGGTCCCATGACTTCACGTCACCACCGCTAAGCTAAAGGAGGCTAATGTTGGGCTATAAAGGAACTACAGCACGGTCACATGACTTCACGTCACCACCGCTAAGCTAAAGGCGGCTAATGTTGGGCTATAAAGGAACTACAGCACGGTCACATGACTTCACGTCACCATGCTAAGCTAAAGGTGGCTAATGTTGGGCTATAAAGGAACTACAGCATGGTCACATGACTTCACGTCACCACCGCTAAGCTAAAGGAGGCTAATGTTGGGCTATAAAGGAACTACAGCACGGTCACATGACTTCACGTCACCACCGCTAAGCTAAAGGCGGCTAATGTTGGGCTATAAAGGAACTACAGCACGGTCACATGACTTCACGTCACCATGCTAAGCTAAAGGCGGCTAATGTTGGGCTATAAAGGAACTACAGCACGGTCACATGACTTCACGTCACCATGCTAAGCTAAAGGTGGCTAATGTTGGGCTATAAAGGAACTACAGCATGGTCACATGACTTCACGTCACCACACTAAGCTAAAGGTGGCTAATGTTGGGCTATAAAGGAACTACAGCACGGTCACATGACTTCACGTCACCACCGCTAAGCTAAAGGCGGCTAATGTTGGGCTATAAAGGAACTACAGCACGGTCACATGACTTCACGTCACCACGCTAAGCTAAAGGTGGCTAATGTTGGGCTATAAAGGAACTACAGCACGGTCACATGACTTCACGTCACCATGCTAAGCTAAAGGTGGCTAATGTTGGGCTATAAAGGAACTACAGCATGGTCACATGACTTCACGTCACCACCGCTAAGCTAAAGGCGGCTAATGTTGGGCTATAAAGGAACTACAGCACGGTCACATGACTTCACGTCACCACGCTAAGCTAAAGGTGGCTAATGTTGGGCTATAAAGGAACTCCAGCAAGGTCACATGACTTCACGTCACCACACTAAGCTAAAGGTGGCTAATGTTGGGCTATAAAGGAACTACAGCACGGTCACATGACTTCACGTCACCACGCTAAGCTAAAGGTGGCTAATGTTGGGCTATAAAGGAACTACAGCAAGGTCACATGACTTCACGTCACCACACTAAGCTAAAGGTGGCTAATGTTGGGCTATAAAGGAACTACAGCACGGTCACATGACTTCACGTCACCACCGCTAAGCTAAAGGCGGCTAATGTTGGGCTATAAAGGAACTACAGCACGGTCACATGACTTCACGTCACCACGCTAAGCTAAAGGTGGCTAATGTTGGGCTATAAAGGAACTCCAGCAAGGTCACATGACTTCACGTCACCACACTAAGCTAAAGGTGGCTAATGTTGGGCTATAAAGGAACTACAGCAAGGTCACATGACTTCACGTCACCACACTAAGCTAAAGGTGGCTAATGTTGAGCTATAAAGGAACTACAGCACGGTCACATGACTTCACGTCACCACCGCTAAGCTAAAGGCGGCTAATGTTGGGCTATAAAGGAACTACAGCACGGTCACATGACTTCACGTCACCACGCTAAGCTAAAGGTGGCTAATGTTGGGCTATAAAGGAACTACAGCAAGGTCACATGACTTCACGTCACCACACTAAGCTAAAGGTGGCTAATGTTGGGCTATAAAGGAACTACAGCACGGTCACATGACTTCACGTCACCACCGCTAAGCTAAAGGCGGCTAATGTTGGGCGTGATGACGTTTAGTCATCTCATTTAGACACTTGTTAGCAACCGCAGTTTTTAAATTCACCAGTGGGGTATTTATTGACGGATTTCATGTGGTAGAACAAACATATCTTCAGCTTGTTTCATTCAGAAAACGATTGACTTCCGGACCAGGGAAGAGAATAGAGCTAAAATGCTGAATCATTTCCAGGTTTAGCCCTTGATGTCTCGCCTCTGGTTTCCCTCCTGTGTGATCCAGGGAATCTGAGGGGAAACCACTCTCCATCTGAGCCATTTCCCCAGGAGAGGTTAGGTAACAAATGGGAGGAAATTACCAGGTAGAGCGGTGGGTTCTGGTCACCGATGGAGAACTGTACAAAAGGCAATTTACTGCAGTGGACAATAATGGGTTATTGAGGAGAACAGCTGATGGTGAGGACACTCCTGTTTTGAGGGAGGAAATTACAGGCTGGTCAAAAGAGGGGGGATGTCTAATGGCTGCTATCATTATCACCATCACTTCCGGTTCATCCCCATGCAAGAGTATGAGGATATTTCTGGTCTGAGTCACTGGAAACGCTCTGCATGTCGTTGTGTTCTCGATTAACTCAATGTTTTGGTCTCGTGGTGACAAGTCAAAAAGCTTCACAGCCGCGATGCTCTGATTGGAGGAAATTGAAAATGATTGCAGGTGGATTCAGGACGCTTTGATGTTTTTTAAAACAACACTGAAGCAATGGCTTTCTGCCAAAACAGAGTCCATAAAAAATGTGACGTGGAGTAATTACACAAATTTTGACGAACAGAAATATTGTTTTCTGGCATCACATTAACATTTTAGAGGGAACATCTGAATTGTGGTATGAGGCCGCACGGCGAGAGTAAGAAATGCCCTTCTGGTGTTGACCAAAACAGATTTTAGACGGATGATATTGCACACTTTAAATTGTGCCATTTTGATGTGTAGTTTTTGCTTAGTGTGTCCACATTACGGACAGTTTGTAAAACTGAGTGTAACGGCAGTTTATTTACAAAGCAGATTTTAGACTATCTATAAAGTGCTTTTCATGAGCATAAATATACAAAACAGATGAGAAGAAATCCCATACATGCATTTAAGAGGTGTAGATAAACAAACATTTAACATATTTAAATGCCCGCGAGATAAGACGGTTGAAAACACGATTTAACAGACGATGAGGACGGCAAACCTCAAGTGTTTGCTCCAGATGTTCGGCGCAAAGACACTGAAAGCTGCTTCATCATAAAATAAAATAGAAATACATTGCTTTGTTGACAATTAATGGACATTATAAGGACCGTAAAAGTTGACGGTTATGTGAACACTTCAATCTGGACAAACCTCAGCCACCAATCATCTTCTTTTATGGTGGCTCTCTCCAAGGTCCTAATGAGAAATAACCCCAATGAATTATTCCTTCTTCTTCCTCCTGTCTTTTTTCTCCAGTTTGTGAAGTTTGCCAACATCGAGGAGGACACGCCGTCGTACCACCGTCGCTACGACTTCTTCGTGTCCCAGTTCAGCGCCATGTGCCACTCCACTCACGAAGACACTGAGACCAGAACCAGGTAAGAGGACTTAGAGGTCTCCTATTATACTGTTTCTCATCAATATATCACAGGTCTCAGATATATGCAGAGCCTGTCTCTGATTGGCTGAAACACCAAACAGATCATTGCAGCATTACCCATAATCCCCTCTGTTTCAGCCCTGTTTCCAAAGTGCTGATTCTCTGTCTGTTACTTCAGATGAAAATAAGGAGCCCCTCCCCACGCCCCTCTGAGAGACATTTGGTTACAAAGAACTCAATGGTGCTCTAGGAGGAGATTCAGGTGATAAGGTGGGGGGGGGGGGGGGGGGGGTTACCTTGGTTGCTGATTGGCTAATGGTTACACAAGACAAAAAAACATTATGACATCATAAATTGGCCAAAATTTGATCAGCTCATTTTCAGACAGGTTTTTATAAAAATGGATCAGGACAAAAAGAGAGAGAATCTTTGTTCCTGAAACTTTCAGAGTCTCTGAGGGGACACATGTTGATGTAGAAGAGACATGAAGAAGAGGGGACACATGTTGATGAAGAAGAGACATGAAGAAGAGGGGACACATGTTGATGAAGAAGAGACATGAAGAAGAGGGGACACATGTTGATGTAGAAGAGACATGAAGAAGAGGGGACACATGTTGATGAAGAAGAGACATGAAGAAGAGGGGACACATGTTGATGTAGAAGAGACATGAAGAAGAGGGGACACATGTTGATGTAGAAGAGACATGAAGAAGAGGGGACACATGTTGATGTAGAAGAGACATGAAGAAGAGGGGACACATGTTGATGTAGAAGAGACATGAAGAAGAGGGGACACATGTTGATGTAGAAGAGACATGAAGAAGAGGGGACACATGGTGATGTAGAAGAGACATGAAGAAGAGGGGACACATGTTGATGAAGAAGAGACATGAAGAAGAGGGGACACATGTTGATGTAGAAGAGACATGAAGAAGAGGGGACACATGTTGATGAAGAAGAGACATGAAGAAGAGGGGGACACATGTTGATGTAGAAGAGACATGAAGAAGAGGGGACACATGTTGATGTAGAAGAGACATGAAGAAGAGGGGACACATGTTGATGTAAGAAGAGACATGAAGAAGAGGGGACACATGTTGATGTAGAAGAGACATGAAGAAGAGGGGACACATGTTTGATGAAAGAGACATGAAGAAGAGGGGACACATGTTGATGTAGAAGAGACATGAAGAAGAGGGGACACATGTTGATGTAGAAGAGACATGAAGAAGAGGGGACACATGTTGATGTAGAAGAGACATGAAGAAGAGGGGACACATGTTGATGTAGAAGAGACATGAAGAAGAGGGGACACATGTTGATGAAGAAGAGACATGAAGAAGAGGGGACACATGCTGATGTAGAAGAGACATGAAGAAGAGGGGACACATGTTGATGAAGAAGAGACATGAAGAAGAGGGGACACATGCTGATGTAGAAGAGACATGAAGAAGAGGGGACACATGTTGATGTAGAAGAGACATGAAGAAGAGGGGACACATGTTGATGTAGAAGAGACGTGAAGAAGAGGGGACACATGTTGATGTAGAAGAGACATGAAGAGGAGGGGACACATGTTGATGTAGAAGAGACGTGAAGAAGAGGGGACACATGTTGATGTAGAAGAGACATGAAGAAGAGGGGACACATGTTGATGTAGAAGAGACATGAAGAAGAGGATTTTGCATAATAGGTGACCTTTAAACACCATATTCTCACCAATTAACTAACATAGACTGAACTATTACAAAGCATTTGAATCCACTAACTTGAATTTATCAACACATGCACTCAGACTCAACTCTTCCTTCCTAACAGTTCTAAGGGTTTCGTTGGTATTTGTGGTATACTCTTATTTATGTATTTCTGCTCCTCATATTTGAAGGTAGTACTCACCTGGTAGCACGAGATCCCAGAGTTTAACGCTTAGTTGACAACATTCAAATATATGTCATGTTTGAATCCAACTAGAAAAAAAGATATAAGATGGTACATAAACTGTTTGTAACTTAATGAAAACTAATAGCCGCTTTCACACCACGTACTTAGCCGGTACTTGTCCTCGGTACTTGTTCCCCCCGAACTCTTTAGTCCCTCGAACTGTCCTAGTAGATCGCGTTCTCACCGGAATAAGTCCCTGAGGGAGGATTAGGCAAACGAAGCCGCTGACGTCACTTCTTCTTCTTCTGCTTTGGGTTTACTGGCAGGCTGCTGGCTCGCGTCTTCCGAGTAAATCGCCAGAAGCGCCGACACCTCCTCATCACTCCACCGCTCCCATGTTTTCTTTTGTGTTGCCATAAGTTAGTCTCTCTCCGTTGGTGCGCTGGGCTAATGCTAATAATGCAAGCAAATAAAATGGCGGCTTCACAAAACTTTTCGGAGTTTTACGGGGCGTGGTTTGCAATTCGCCCAGCCAATCAGAAATTGTTAGCGTGGCCGACAAACCCACGAACCATTTCCCCCTCAGGAAAGTACCACCTCTCTAGCAGGGACTATCTGGGGGTGAAAAGGTTTGCGCGAACTAGGGACTAGTTCCAGATCCTTTTTGGTGTGAAACCAAATCCCCCCCCCCCCCCCTATCGGCCTAGTTTACGGTGAAAAGTACTCCGGTGTGAAAGCGCCTAATGTTTAGTATTAAAGAGTCCCTATCCACCTCATTTTCAAGTGTATATCACTAGAAATCTTTCTGTCTGTGCTCTGGAGGGAACAAAATGATTTTAGCCTTTGCAGACCATTTACATGCACTAAAACCTATACGACACACTACAGGAGAGGGAACACACCAACAAGCTGAATTTAACAAAGGCCCCTTTAAGACCTCCACTGTGTTTTGCCATTATTTCTGAGGTTCCTACATTTTACAGCTTAAAATCATTATATTTCTATTTTTGATGCACTTATTTTCTCCCGATTTGACTTTTAAAGGTCGTTTTATTTATCAGACGGGTATTTCCTTCGTGCAATTTGGTGCAAAATGCCGCCCACCAGACTCCCTGCTGAGTGTAGAAGTAAAGCCTGACCTTGGAAAACAGCAGGTGGATTTACTAAAAGCTTGTAAGTGGATCTGGAATTCATATTTGTTTTGGAATAGTGGACCATATCGCTCTGATCCTCGTCTCCTCGCAATTATTTTCTGATTATTATTTTAATATTCTTGGTCTGCCAGATGGAAACAGAGCTAATCTTTAATCGAAGGTTGAATCTCTGGATAAAGAAAATCCCCACGGTTGAAAAAAAGATGGCTTATTGATCTCTGATGAAACCGACGTATCCTTCGCTCTCTTCAGATTCTCTCATCATCTTCATTTCAGAAGCAAACTAATCCTAATATCGTTCCAGAAGTGAGGCGGCGGTGCGTAACGAAGGGATGAATTCTTTAATTTCACTCTCTGGAGCTTCACAGCAGCTTGGGTTATTAATAGTGAAAACACTTTCTCTGATTAGTTCTTCATCACAGGGGGAAATTAGGCTGGAGCCGAGAAAACAGCTGCTTTCATTCAAGCCGTGTGATTGGATGAAATAAAGATATACATACATACGCATATGAGTAGTCAGAACCTCATTCATGCATGAACAAGTACAGTACAACATAAATCAAGTCAATAGATTTGAACAATGACTTTGTAAGCTGGCCTGATCACCAAATCCACTTTATTCAGACTGATCTGTTCAAAAACATTAATTTGTAAATGCTTTTATTTGGAAACCATCATTTCTGTTTGCAGTAAGAGATGTTTAGGGACACAAACGTCTACTGACTGTCTGTATTGTTTGAAAGTAGATTTAATAATATCTTAGTGAGGGTCAGGTCTTTACGAGATGATCCAAATATTAAAACGATACCTGAAGACATCTCTCTGACTCAGTGTGAAAACCAATTCCCCTTCTCCGGTGTCACTGCAGAAATATGGTGTGTGTGTGTGTCTATCTCTCTCTGTCACACACACACACACACACACACACACACACACACACACACACACACACACACACACACACACACACACACACACACACACACACACACACACACACACACACACACACACACACACACACACACACACACACACACACACACACACACACACACACACACACACACACACACACACACACACACAGACTCTTCTGCAGTAACACCGGAGAAGGGGAATTGGTTTTCACACTGAGTCAGAGAGATGTCTTCAGGTATCGTTTTAATATTTGGATCATCTCGTAAAGACCTGACCCTCACTAAGATATTATTAAATCTACTTTCAAACAATACAGACAGTCAGTAGACGTGTGTGTCCCTAAACATCTCTTACTGCAAACAGAAATGATGTTTTTGAACAGATCAGCCTGAATAAAGTGGATTTGGTGATCAGGCCAGCTTACAAAGGCATTGTTCAAATCTATTGACTTGATTTATGTTGTACTTGTTCATGCATGAATGAGGTTCTGACTACTCATATGCGTATGTATGTATATCTTTATTTCATCCAATAACACGGCTAGAATTAAAGCAGCTGTGCGTGCGCGCGTGCGTGTGTTTCAGTCGTCTGGCTTGATATCTCTCTGCCGCCTCACTGTTAACAGTATGACTTCTCACTCCCCCCCCCCCCCCCCCCCCTCCTGTATTTCATTAATCCACCTCGCTGAAGGTGGAGGGGAATTCCCAAATAGATTTTCTCTGCTGGTTATTGGATTAGGCCCAAGGCGAGGTCACCCACACTGTTCTTCATATTATCTGTCATACAGGAGACAGGAATAGCCAGGGACGCTGGGCTCTGATTGGTTCAGAGACCCCGTCGAGGTCTTTCTGTTGGAGAGAGAGAGTGTATGTGTAGTGCTGGGAATATATTAAGTGTTATTAAGATGAGTTCTTTAGAGTCAGAAATAGAAGTTGAGAGAGACACAGAGTGAGTCAGCCTCTCATAAGTAGGTGGAGAAACTCTCAAACTACATTTGGGTGTTAAAGAGTCCTCTCCTGCTGATGCTCAGGTGTATATCAGTATGTAGTGTCTCTACTTTAAAGAGTCCTCTCCTGCTGATGTTCAGGTGTATATCAGTATGTAGTGTCTCTACTTTAAAGAGTCCTCTCCTGCTGATGTTCAGGTGTATATCAGTATGTAGTGTCTCTACTTTAAAGAGTCCTCTCCTGCTGATGTTCAGGTGTATATCAGTATGTAGTGTCTCTACTTTAAAGAGTCCTCTCCTGCTGATGTTCAGGTGTATATCAGTATTTAGTGTCTCTACTTTAAAGAGTCCTCTCCTGCTGATGTTCAGGTGTATATCAGTATGTACAGTAGTGTCTCTACTTTAAAGAGTCCTCTCCTGCTGATGATCAGGTGTATATCAGTATGTAGTGTCTCTACTTTAAAGAGTCCTCTCCTGCTGATGTTCAGCTGTATATCAGTATGTAGTGTCTCTACTTTAAAGAGTCCTCTCCTGCTGATGTTCAGGTGTATATCAGTATGTAGTGTCTCTACTTTAAAGAGTCCTCTCCTGCTGATGTTCAGGTGTATATCAGTATGTAGTGTCTCTACTTTAAAGAGTCCTCTCCTGCTGATGTTCAGGTGTATATCAGTATGTAGTGTCTCTACTTTAAAGAGTCCTCTCCTGCTGATGTTCAGGTGTATATCAGTGTGTAGTGTCTCTACTTTGAAGAGTCCTCTCCTGCTGATGTTCAGGTGTATATCAGTATGTAGTGTCTCTACTTTAAAGAGTCCTCTCCTGCTGATGTTCAGGTGTATATCAGTATGTAGTGTCTCTACTTTAAAGAGTCCTCTCCTGCTGATGTTCAGGTGTATATCAGTATTTAGTGTCTCTACTTTAAAGAGTCCTCTCCTGCTGATGTTCAGGTGTATATCAGTATTTAGTGTCTCTACTTTAAAGAGTCCTCTCCTGCTGATGTTCAGGTGTATATCAGTATGTAGTGTCTCTACTTTAAAAAGTCCTCTCCTGCTGATGATCAGGTGTATATCAGTATGTAGTGTCTCTACTTTAAAGAGTCCTCTCCTGCTGATGTTCAGGTGTATATCAGTATTTAGTGTCTCTACTTTAAAGAGTCCTCTCCTGCTGATGTTCAGGTGTATATCAGTATGTAGTGTCTCTACTTTAAAGAGTCCTCTCCTGCTGATGTTCAGGTGTATATCAGTATGTAGTGTCTCTACTTTAAAGAGTCCTCTCCTGCTGATGTTCAGGTGTATATCAGTATTTAGTGTCTCTACTTTAAAGAGTCCTCTCCTGCTGATGTTCAGGTGTATATCAGTATGTAGTGTCTCTACTTTAAAGAGTCCTCTCCTGCTGATGTTCAGGTGTATATCAGTATGTAGTGTCTCTACTTTAAAGAGTCCTCTCCTGCTGATGTTCAGGTGTATATCAGTATGTAGTGTCTCTACTTTAAAGAGTCCTCTCCTGCTGATGTTCAGGTCTATATCAGTATCTAGTGTCTCTACTTTAAAGAGTCCTCTCCTGCTGATGTTCAGGTGTATATCAGTATGTAGTGTCTCTACTTTAAAGAGTCCTCTCCTGCTGATGTTCAGGTGTATATCAGTATGTAGTGTCTCTACTTTAAAGAGTCCTCTCCTGCTGATGTTCAGGTGTATATTAGTATAGTGTCTCTACTTTAAAGAGTCCTCTCCTGCTGATGTTCAGGTGTATATCAGTATGTAGTGTCTCTACTTTAAAGAGTCCTCTCCTGCTGATGTTCAGGTGTATATCAGTATGTAGTGTCTCTACTTTAAAGAGTCATCTCCTGCTGATGTTCAGGTCTATATCAGTATCTAGTGTCTCTACTTTAAAGAGTCCTCTCCTGCTGATGTTCAGGTGTATATCAGTATGTAGTGTCTCTACTTTAAAGAGTCCTCTCCTGCTGATGTTCAGGTGTATATCAGTATGTAGTGTCTCTACTTTAAAGAGTCCTCTCCTGCTGATGTTCAGGTGTATATCAGTATGTAGTGTCTCTACTTTAAAGAGTCCTCTCCTACTGATGTTCAGGTGTATATCAGTATGTAGTGTCTCTACTTTAAAGAGTCCTCTCCTACTGATGTTCAGGTGTATAAGCATCTTTGAGCATTAGGAAAAGCGCTATAAAAACCTTTGTATTATTATTATTATTATTATATAAGGTATCAAATACATTTTAGGTATCGTTGAAGCCATTTTTTTTTTTGAATAAGGTTAAATATTTGCTTGTGGATATCTAACAGTTCTTTGTTTCTGTCTCAGGATCCGTATTGCAGGGATTAAGGGTCTGCAGGGCGTTGTGAGGAAGACGGTGAACGACGAGCTGCAGGCAATCATCTGGGAGCCTCAGCATATGGACAAACTGATCCCCTCCATGCTGTTCAACATGCAGGACAGCGACGACTTGGACAGGTACTACACACACACACACACACACACACACACACACACACACACACACACACACACACACACACACACACACACACACACACACACACACACACACACACACACACACACACACACACGCACAAAGGCAAACACATTCAGACAGCTGTTACCAAAGTCAACAAAAAGATGGCTGTACCCTCATGCCCTTGAGCTTCACTTGATCATAACTCACGTCAGAAAAACAACTTTTTATTTATTTCTCTCCCTATATTTCTCTTATCACATGTGGGCAGTGTTGTGGGAGATGTACTGCTCTTACAGTCCTGTTGTGATTCCTCCTTCCTGATACTTTCAGTAGACCTGGAGGGTTAAGAAACAGAAGGTGTTCAAGGTCATTGCAGTCAGTTTTAGAAAGACAGTATGGAGAGCAATGTTGACAAAAAATACCTTTTTATATACGAGGTTCTGCACCGACAGTTCCCCCTTTAATTGCAATTATATTATAAATAGGCTACGCTCTTTTAGGGATGACAGATTGACAATGTTTTACTGTAATTTGATTGTATTTTTCCACTGGCTAAACTTCTGGCAGATGACTCAGCAGGTTGTACAATAAATGAACTACAGATTAAATCTAGTGGAGCTAACAATAGTAAGCTAGGCTAACTAGCTTCAGCCCTCTTTAACTTAACAGCATGATGAACTCCACGGGTTAATACCAACAACGTATAGCTAACATTATGAAAACCAGCTGTAAAGGATGGCTGAAATAAGTTATGTGATTAACACAAGCTAAACGTTTGTTCTACAAACTAATATAAGTCAGTAAATATCCCACTGGTTAATTTGCAGTGTCTAAATGAGACGACTAAACGTCCTCGTGTCCAACATTAGCCTCCTTTAGCTTAGCTGTGGTGACGTGAAGTCATGTGACCGTGCTGTCGTTCCTTTATAGCCAAACGTTAGCCACCTTTAGCTTAGCGGTGGTGACATGAAGTCATGTGACCGTGCTGTAGTTCCTTTATAGCCAAACGTTAGCCACCTTTAGCTTAGCGGTGGTGACGTGAAGTCATGTGACCGTGCTGTAGTTCCTTTATAGCCCAACGTTAGCCTCCTTTAGCTTAGCGGTGGTGACGTGAAGTCATGTGACCGTGCTGTAGTTCCTTTATAGCCCAACATTAGCCACCTTTAGCTTAGCGGTGGTGACTTGAAGTCATGTGACCGTGCTGTTGTTCCTTTATAGCCCAACATTAGCCACCTTTAGCTTAGCGGTGGTGACGTGAAGTCATGTGACCGTGCTGTAGTTCCTTTATAGCCCAACATTAGCTGCCTTTAGCTTAGCGGTGGTGACGTGAGGTCATGTGACCGTGCTGTAGTTCCTTTATAGCCCAACATTAGCCTCCTTTAGCTTAGCGGTGGTGACGTGAAGTCATGTGACCGTGCTGTAGTTCCTTTATAGCCCAACATTAGCTGCCTTTAGCTTAGCGGTGGTGACGTGAGGTCATGTGACCGTGCTGTAGTTCCTTTATAGCCCAACATTAGCCTCCTTTAGCTTAGCGGTGGTGACGTGAGGTCATGTGACCGTGCTGTAGTTCCTTTATAGCCCAACATTAGCCTCCTTTAGCTTAGCGGTGGTGACGTGAAGTCATGTGACCGTGCTGTAGTTCCTTTATAGCCCAACATTAGCCACCTTTAGCTTAGCGGTGGTGACTTGAAGTCATGTGACCGTGCTGTAGTTCCTTTACAGCCCAACATTAGCCACCTTTAGCTTAGCGGTGGTGACGTGAGGTCATGTGACCGTGCTGTAGTTCCTTTATAGCCCAACATTAGCCTCCTTTAGCTTTGCGGTGGTGACGTGAAGTCATGTGACCGTGCTGTAGTTCCTTTATAGCCCAACATTAGCCACCTTTAGCTTAGCGGTGGTGACGTGAGGTCATGTGACCGCGCTGTAGTTCCTTTATAGCCCAACATTAGCCTCCTTTAGCTTAGCGGTGGTGACGTGAAGTCATGTGACCGTGCTGTAGTTACTTTATAGCCCAACATTAGCCACCTTTAGCTTAGCGGTGGTGGCGTGAAGTCATGTGACCGTGCTGTAGTTCCTTCATAGCCCAACATTAGCTCTGACCTTTAACCTCTGTAACTCCGGCTGCCTGCAGTGTGAGGAGAGGTCAGGACTCTAGAGTAAATCCTGCTGTTGGATCAGTGTCGGCTGCAGGAAAATAAACCTCCGTCTGAACTCGATCCCGGGAATTAAAGCCGCCGCTCTCCTCAGACCTCATTATATTCTTTCAATCCTCAAACCCGGCTCTGCAGGAGGAAGAAATCCTGGAGATGTGAGGAGTGTCTGCGTCTCCTCATCCCCTCAGATTCTGGGAATGGGAACGCTGCTCGCTGTTTTTAGGCCGGGGAGGTTTATGACAGAGATCAACGAGGACAGGAAGCTTAACGCTGGGCTCACCTGTCGACCCACCTTAAGTCCTTTTTATTTATTCTTACTCACCTTCATGTATTCTTTGTTCTCCAGACCCCTCTTCTCTCTGTTATATTCTCATCTCCCACATAGTAAGACAATCTGAAAATACTTTATTTTGGGGAATTGGGTTTTGTGACAGTTGCTTCATTATATAATAGAATAAATATTAATAATCAACATAACCAAAATGACATATTGATAGAGACATCAGGAGTACAAATGTGCACATTTTTTACCACAAAATATATGTCAAACTTTCGAAAGAATACAATAAATGCATCAGTTTTAATAAAATGTAGAAAGACCCTGGTATCTATACAAGGACATAAGGGTAGTGTTCCAGAAGTAAGGGACAACTATGTAGGGTTTAATGGGGAGAGGAACTCCCTCTGAAGGGAACACAGGGATGTTAGCCTTTGCAGACCATTTACATGCACTAAAACCTATAGAACACACTACAGGAGTGGGAACACCCCCCAAAACAAAACATCATGTATAGGCATTGCTGCAATTGCAACTTGACCAAGTAAAACACATGCAGTTATCCATTTTTTTACATGGAAAAAGTGCAAAACAAGCCCAACAACCTCCTACAGGGCTTGCATCTTCTAAAAAATGCTGAGTTTTATGTATGATTCAACAAAGAAAGTCCCATTGACGTCAGAACCCTCTCTTCAAAAGACACCTGGCCAAGGAGATAGCTTACTAACAAAATATGTCAAAACAGATGAAACACTACAGCAAAACCCATAATATTAAAAAGACCAAGACAAGCCTTCGTGTATTTCTACTCCTCATCTTGTCATCCCTTCTCCTCCCTTTCAGTTTTAATTCCCTCTCCTTTCTTTCTGCTTTCACCGTGACTTCCTCTCCGTCTCACTCGGGTGGTTTCCATGTGAACTAAAATCTATTTTTGGACTCTGTTCTTCTTTCTTCTGAGTTTGTCTTCTTCTCCTGCTGACTTTTCTCTACCTAAAGCCCTACAAGTAGCTGCATCTCCTGTCATCACACGTGGAGGAGTTAAAGGGTTAGGAGGTGATCCGACCCCACCGGGAGTCTCCATCATTATTTGGTGTTGGAGGAGATTCTGTCTGGGTGATGGATCTCCTTAAACCCTAAAAAGACTGGTGCAGGAATGAGTCCTAAAACTGGGGAAAAACACATCTTTTTACCACTTCCTGTCCACTCGTCTGGAAGTCAATGGCTTCCTGAATGTGTTTTTTGGCCTGAAATAAGGTCTGTGGTTAACACAAGCTGAAGAGATTTTATTTTACAACATAAAATACATCAGTAAATACTCCACTGCTGAATTTAAAAACTGACAAGTGTGAGACGACAAAACGTCATCACGCCCAACATTAGCCAACATAACAGTTAAGGGGGTTGTCGACCCTCTGCTTCGCGTCGGGCCGAACCACGCCCCTTAGCTGTGATATAATGACCATATACCACGGCCTGTCTTGAGCTATTGCTTAAATATAGCACACTTTTGAGCAGGATTCTCCCCTTTTTTAACTCTGCATTTGCATAACAGGCCTCTCTTTGATGGGATGTGTCACTCTCAGCATCAAAGGAATCACCTTACCAACAACCTTCACCAAGTGTGGACGTTATTAGCACATGAAAAGAGGGTTTTTTCCTTTTAAATGAGCTGCCTGCGAGCCTTCCTTTGTACTCGGTTTGAACTGAACAAGTTCAAATCCGTTTGACCTACATGTGAGAGCCCAGCCGGCCTGTAACCATCCCAAAACAGAACTGGTGCAAAGTGCAGACCAACAAATGTCCTTTAGAAGGATGGACTGAACATGGGGAGACTAAAGAGTCCTGCAAAAAATGAAAGTTATATTTTGTAGTGTTTTAGAGAGGTGTTTATTTAACGTTGTGATCATTTCGGAGGCTGTTAGACGTCTTTATTACAACAAAGAAACCTTAATGCTCCCTGCAAACAAGGATTTTTAAGGCAACAATTCACCGCCTTTACCACTGAAAAAAAAAACTTAAATTTGCTAACATCTGTCTTTCTAATTAAGTGGAAATCTGCATTAATTCTTGGGACAAATGCCAGAAATACCTGAAATGAAAGCTCCGAATAGCAGTGATGGTAACCACATGAGACCTGGGTCAACACTTCAACTGTTGCCCCTTTTCCAGTGAGATGTAATGACTATAAGTTGCACGATTATTATTGTATTTTAACATTTACAATATGACATATAAAACCTGCATATGGATGGCAATTTGTTAGGGAAAAAGTCAACTTATTTTGGTAACATCGGCTGGGACAAACGAGCAATCGGCAGAGATAGTAACATGAAACCAGGGTCACAAATGATCTGTTTTGCCCTTCTTTTCAGCGCGATGCTATGCCACATGTTTAAGTGATTACATTAATGAATTAAATCAGCCAGGATAATTCTAATTCATGAGGTTCAAAACGCACATTGTCACGTCAAAGTAACACTTCGTAGTTAAAAAACAGAAAGGCTTCTTCGTCCACTGGTAATGAGAGTCTACCGCCTATTTTTAGCGTCATTTCCGACATTTA